AAGAATAGAAACTTTCAGGGACAACCAGGCCAGAAGTACTCTATGTGTCGCCATCTGTACTCGGCGCCGTCGAGCGCAATATATGCAAACAGAGGCGAATGGGCGAGTGTATGTATGTGTGTGTGTGTGTGCACATGTCACCGCAAATCTACTTAAAACGCAATTAAGTTGAATGCAAATACAGTCGACGACAGCGCACACAATGGCAGACAGCGCGAAGGTGGATGCAGCTCTAATTGTACCCCTCCCCCCTCCTCCCTTGTCCCCCACACACCTGTCAGCTCACCCAGCTCTGGCTGTTTGTGATAATAATGTCGGATGGAAAAAGAGATATATGGATATAAGAAACTGTGGCAGTGTATGCAAATATGCCACGAAGACTACGACGAACAGAAGATACCCTGTAAAAGATAGCTCTGCGAGAACTGACTTTCTAAATCCATTCAAAACCAATGGAATCTAATTAATTTAAGCATATAAGAGCATAATTTTCCTAAAATCCAATTACTTTTTCCGCCTTTGCTAAGATTTCATTTCATTCAAATTTATGCCCGCTTTATTTGATTTATTTCTATGGAAGCCGAGTCGCCTAAGTCGCCCAGCATATGGAGCAGGCAAGTCGACTTTAGCAGTAAAACAATTATGAAGAGGTGAGCCGTGGGTGTTTAGCTCTGGCTCGAGCACTAAGGCAGTCTAGGATTTGCACATATGTTGGCGATGTCCTCAAATTGTTAAGCATACTTTGCTGCTGCTGCTGCTGCTGCTGCTGCTGCTGGGTGCAGTGCATCATGCCGCACTCGGTTGGCTTTGTTCCTGATGCCTTAAAAGTTAAATTTGTTTTTGAATAAACTTTAATCAACTTTATTTGAAAGGGGGACAAATAAGACACGAAACAGAAGTCGTCCCATTGTATAACAGCGAAACGTTGACGGCTGCAACTTTTCCATTCAACTTGACGGCAGCATTCTTGAAGGTTCTTTGGAACTTTGCCGAAGAAATAACCATGTAATTGATGCTGCCGGCGGCACAAGGGAAGCCCCGCCAGCACACATTGTCTATGGTCTACCCAGCTGCGGCAGTTGCGGCAGCTACGGACCGTGTGTGAGGAATTCGTTCGTGAATAATTCACAAATTAATAGCGCGCTCGTTATGAAACCTTTCAACAGTTTGGCATTCAATTAGGCAGCCCCGCATCGGTGTGTGGGATGTGGCTCGCATGCAATTGGCTGAGCACGAGTGCATTAGGCATCTCACAACATTTTCAAAAAGGCCGCACCACTTCCCAAACTAAGACATAAACAAACGGCCAGTGCCAGTGCCAGGCAGGCCATTCCAGCTGCAGTTGCAGTTCGAGCTGGGGAAATTTCTTGCCATAAATTTACTAAAAGCTTTCGCAACGAAAATTTGTTGCTGCCTTCCGCTGACAACATGGCTCACCTGGCAGAAGTCACACTATATATCTCTCTCTCACTCTTCCCTCTCTCTCTCTCTCTCTCTCTCTCTCTAGCGCTTTCTCGCTTGGCAGGCTGCATCCAAAGCAAAATTTACGCCTCTCCCTTCATTATTATTGCACTCTGCCCAGGCAACGTTGTTGTTCTACACGTGCTTGTTGTTGTTGTTGTTGTTGTTGTTGCTGTTGCAGCGGTTGCTGGCGGCTGCTGCTGTGGCTGGCTTTGCGCTACCGCAGACAATTTGGCAGACGTGCAAACCAAGTTTCTAAATAAAAGTGCAAACTAAATGAGCATTTAGTGTGCGCGCATCGTAAATTCCTGTTGAAATATTTCTGTCGTCTTACAATTTAGCTGGCATTCCAGCGACTTGACTTCCACTTCGAGAGATGCGCACGAATTTAAAGCGTTAAATGTGGACTCCGCCAAACGGTGTAGGCGGCGTGTGTTCAGTTTACACTTTTGCGGATTTGTATAGGTGTGGTATGTGTGTGTGTGTGTGCTTGGGAATCTTTGACAAAGTTGAGTCCGCCCCATGGCGTTGGCCATAATAAAATGGTTTAATGAGGCGTCGCTGCTGCCAGCGCCCGTCATGCACCTTTTATATGTCTGGCAATGGTCGTTTGCCTGGACCTGGCCAAGACACACACGCATACACACACACACTCGCACACATTCGCTGTCAACGCACAGTCGTACATGACTTCATTAGTGTAATGAAAACGGGCAAAACACGAACAAGAAGAAGCAGAAAATGTCAAGGTTGCTCTCGGGCCGCTGCGTGCGAATTGTCGCCGTCAATGCTGGTCCATTTGCGAGAGCTTAGCGCCGACTGCCAAAAGGTTAACACTTGCAAAATGGCTGACGTGGACGTGACGCATTTTCGTTTTGAATAACAAATTTAATTAGAATTAATATATGAGAACTAGAGCCGGGCAAATCTAAACATTAACCCAGCCGCCTCCTGGCAAAACTTGTGCCAATATAAATGCATATATGTGCGAATACATATACATACATACATACATACGTATATGGTCATGTAGAAGAAAGCCATTCACATATACGAGTGTATTATACACATCAGGCAATTACTATTTCTATGGCTCCAGTTCCTTGGCTCGTGCGGTGCTCTAAGCAAGTCGACCTTTTATAAGTCGAAAGGTCTTCCGCAAGTAGATCTAACAACAAATTTAATCTACAATTTACTAATTGAAAAAAATTGAGGGTAATTGTGTTTCTTACGGCTGAAGCTGAAATTCTTGAAGGAATTTACATTGTGAACTTTTTCCCGGATATACTAATCATTTTTGTTGGCCTAAATTTTAATGCAAATTGAAGGCAAACTTCAAGGAAGTAAGACAAAGAAATTCGACTCCAAGCTCACCAAAGTTTCGAGACTTTATGATTAAAATCAACCAAAGAGTCTATCTTTTCATCTGTTTGAAGTGAGCTCAAACATTAAATCGATCAAAATAAAGCCAAGATTAAATTTGTTTAGAATAATTAAAATACTGTTATATAGATTATCATTATTATAATTATAAAGTAAAAATACGAGAGAGAGAGAGAGAGAGAGAGAGAGAGAGAGAGAACGAAAGAGAAAGAGAGAGAAGCTTTTCTCAATCAGTTATTGATGAGCAATTTGAAAAATTAAACAAACAAATTTAATAAAAGATTTTCTATAATTATAAGAATAAACTATATTTTAATACGTAATGTCTATAAATTCATATGAAATATATTTGAAATGTTTTAAAATATTCCAATGCTAAATTGCAATATGTTTTAAATTTTTACAGATTATATTATTTATATATATTTATATTTAATGTATATTTTATATTTAAATTTTTTGCCATAAAAAAAAAAAGTATTTTCATTTAAGTTCACCATTATTAATTAGTCGAATAGGTCGGCTCTTAAAGAGAGAGTTTTCAGGTAAATGGCATGCTGAAAATTAATTAAATTAAATTAAACGCTGCATAATTTTTGTTAATTTATGCGTTAATTCAATTCAACGTGAGAGTTGCATTTCGAATGCCAGCCCAGAGAGGCATATTAAAGTGAACGGTATATATATGTATTACATATAGTCAATATAGTTGTGTGTATAGGTTTATTTACAGAAACATAATACATATGCACATGGCGCACGGCACGTGGCGGATCCTCTCTGGGGAGGCGAGGGTGTGGGGTCCATTGCAATTTAACGCGCAATGGCCACGGATATCCGTTTAATGGCCATGAATACATAAATAATAAAAATGTATTTGTTTATTATACACAGACATCACAGAGACACGAGCACACACACACACACACACACCCACACACATATAGGCACGCGCACACACACATGTGCAGAAACGCATGCAGAAGTCAGCTTACATGCTTTTATGCCAATTTATTTACCTTCGCAAATAAAATATATGGACAGTCTTTTTTAACGGAAAGCAATTTAAACAATACCCAAGAGTATTTATAATAAGCGCAATAAAAGGCAATGCAAAAACTATCTGCGCAAACTGTGAAGAGATTGGCTTTTGTGGCTCTGTGTGTGTGTATGCCTCTGTTACTGTGCGTGTGTGTGTATTGGTGAGCACTTCCGTTTCCTGTGGCTTTGTTGAAAATAATTTAATTTTATTGCATTTCAATTATTGTTTGCTGCTTGAATGGGCAAAACAACAACAACAACAACAACAGCAATTTTTTTGCATTTTAGAAAAGCATTTGCATTCAAAAAAAAAGCAAATAAGAAGAAGAAGAAAAATGACAATGGTAAAATCAGACACTTTGGCACAAAGACTCTTCACTTTTACACTTAGATATTCCGAGCGGAGTAAATTAAAAATGCCATTGGCCAGTTGGGATATGTGCAAAGGGGGAATATATCTGCATGTGCTCCACTTACACAAAGTGCTTAATCAAGCTGAAAAATAGACGACTTGAAAAAGAAATAACACACACACATAACACACACACACGTACACCCACACAGACTGGCGTGAATGGCTCACTCATTGAGTGGACAAAGTAAAGTGAAGTAGTTTAAAATTAACAAGCAACACGACTCACAAAAACAAAAAGGAGCCGACTATCAGATACCCTAAGTTGCTGGCCTAAAGAACTGTGAAATATACTTAA